ATGATCCTAATTTACATTCAGATGCTCCAGTGAATCAAAGGGTAGAGGGAGCCAAAGAGGGAAGGACTTTATGGCTGGAGACAAATGGAACCCCTGACTGATACACAGAAAGTGATGGAAGCCATGTGAGGTGAGGTCAGAAGGTGTTTGGAGGGGTATGTGATAAAGATTCGGTGTCATTCTGAAGAGTGCAAGCATTTAAATTTTAAAGCACTGTGTCATGTTCTTTTAACTGGTCAGTGTGTTATTCCTTGCATATGGTGTGTGTGTGTGTGTGTGTGTGTGTGCGTGTGCGTGAACACCTGAGCATCATTCCTCAGGTGCCGTCCACCTTGTTTTTTTTGAGACAGGGTCTCTCACTTCGCCTGGAGTTTATCAATTATTAGGGTAGGCTGGTTGGCCAGCAAGCTCCAGGGATCTGTCTGTGTAGGCCTCCCCAGACTGGGATGACAAGATTTGAATGTGGGGTTCAAACGTGAGTCCTCATAGTTCCAAAGCAAGCGTTTTGCAGACTGAACGATCATTATTTCTTGCATATTTTAGGTGAAAAAAAATTAATTGTGTTAAAATGCTCATAACACAAAATTCATCAGTGTGGGTATTTTTAAGTGTTCACTGATATTAATATATCCACTCCATTTAAAACCACTGAATATTTTGAATATCATATTTTATAGGTCAGCATTTCCTAATGCCTGTGGTCTCTGAAGCTAATGGTTTTCCCGTGAGGAAAGAGGACTCAGTGGGAGGGAGGCACTGCTGACTAATGGGTAGAAGTCCCTGGGAAGAAAAATTTGGCTCAACATGAGAAAGAACTTTCTGATCCAAGGGAACAAGGAGGCCCGGGAGCTTGCCTTTGAAGGTGGAGAATGGCGAACAGGAGCCCTTAGACCACCTGTTGGGTGTGTTTGAGACAGATTCCTGTTCTGGGTGGGAGAGCAACCACTGGGCTTCCTTCCAGCCACAGGATCTTCTCATTGAGCTGACTGGGGATCTCTATACTCTCAGATTTCAGCCGAGCAGACAGGGGCTCAAGTGCTCTGGGTAGTCACACTTAGCATTAGGCACTGGCAGCTTTCACCCGTTCCTGGAACGCTCGCTGCTATTTTAGTCTAAACTGCAGAGAAGCAATTAAAAGAGGGGTGCTTGGTTTCAGGGCTGGTAATCAGTTACAGGACAAGTGACGCGAGGCAAGGGACCCTCGCAAGGAAAGGGTTCAAAGAGCTCTACCAGACTTGGGTGGCTCCATTCCAATCCATGACCACTTGTGGCCAGAACGGCTCCTAAAGCAGAAACCTAGGCACGCACCCCCTCGGCCCCATTAAAGTTCTTCAGTGCCCTCCTTTACTTTCAAAGTGAAGTTCAAGGTTCTAAGAACTCCAGGCCACCGTGACCTCCTGAGTCTTGTCTTACCCACTTATCCCTTCAGTCTAATCTCCAGCTGAGCTAGGTTTTAGTTCTCTATTTGTTGGGCTAATTCCTACATATTCCTCATGATTCTACTCTGGGGTGGTCCCATAAAGAACCTGTCTTTACTGTCCCTATATGTTACCCAGGATGCTTCAGAGTGCCCCATGGCCACGACTGCCAGCATCCTAGAAACAGCATCTTTGGTGGCCTTTCAGGTACCCTGTGTTGATCCATATACCCTAGAAACCAAGAGATCAGAGGCTTAGGACCAGCAAGATAGCTCAGTGGGTAAAGGTGCCCATAGTCAAGCCTAAAGAGTTGAGTTCAATCCCTGGGATCTACATGGTGGAAAGAGAACAGACTCCCACAAGTTAGCCTCTTACATTAGTCATGGCACATGCATGAATTCCCCTACATGCGTGTAAGTGTACAAATGTACACACACATACACATGCATACATACATACATACATACATACATACATACATAGTTTAATTTTTAAAAAGGATTGAAGGATTAAAAAGTAATCTTGGACCAGGAAAGTTCTTTATACATGTGACATAAGACACAGAAGTGATTTTATAATAAATACTAAATATAATCATGTTGATTGCAGCGCTGGGGATTTAATCTCTCTCTCTCTCTCTCCCCCAACCCATCTATCTCTATCTCTATATCTATTTCTGTCTGTCTGTCTGTCTATTTATCTATCCATCCATCCATCCATTCATCCATCCATCCATCCACCTACCCATTCATCCATCCATTCATCTGTCTGTCTATCTACTTACCTACTTACCAACCTAGATATCTATCTGACACAAGGTCTCATGTAGCTAAAGAGGACCTCAAATTCTTGAACACCCTGCCTCTACCTCCAGCATGCTGGGATTACCACCATGTGCAACTATCCCCAGTTTTAAGCAGTGCTAGTGTGGTCAAATAGACCAAGCAAGCTCTCTATCAACTGCTCCATATCCACAGCCCTCAACACATGCCTTTCATCTGGAACAGCAGCACAGTAGGCTGTTATAGTCCAGGGCTTAGGCCTTTGCTAATGGCCTAGGAGGTTGATAAGTCTTCCTGAGACATGAATTTGGGAGCCAACAGTTAGACATGGGTAACAATGCCTAGCTGACCACACTCTGCGTCTCAGTATGACTTTGATATTTGCTACCACTTTCAAATGTTGGTGACATAAGAAGTGAAACCCTAAGGTCTAATAGAGTCTACCCATCTCATATAAGTTTGTTTGGCCCAGTACTGGCTAACATATTGGTTAGAAACAGTTGGGGGAATCTATTTTTTATAGCTAAGAATGCATACTTAACTCAGGGTCCACTCTTTGGGTTATACTCAGTTAGGTTTGACACTAACTGATATAAGATATCTGATATCTTATATGTACCATTTGGGTACTACACAGAGTAATCTTGTGCCCTAAGATCCTTCATGCTCTGCCTTGTCATCTCCCTGCCCCCAGGATCCCTGGTAACCAATGGTCCCTTTTCCGTCTGTGTTGATTTGAATGAGAATGGTCACCACAGGCTAACATGTTTGAATGCTTGGTCTGAAGTGGTAGAACTGTTTGGGGGAAGATTAGGAGGTGCGGTCTTTTTGGAGGAGGTGAGTCACTGAGGGTGGGCTTTGAGATTTCAAAAGCCCAGGCTATTTCCAGCGACTCTCTTTCTCTGCCTCACGGTTGTTGTCTCAACATGCAAGCTCTCAGCTACTGCTCCATAGTCATGCCTGCCTGCCTGCCACCATGTTTCCTGTCATGATGGTCATAGCCTCTCCTCTCCTCTGGACCAGGAACCCCAGATTAAATGCTTTCTGCTATAAATTGCCTTGGCCGTGGTGCTTTCTCACTGCAGTAGAAAAGTAAGTCACTATCTATAATTTTGCCTTCTCCAAAAATTTATATAGCTCGAATCATAAATTATGCAGACTTCTTAGATTGGATTGTTTCATTTAACAATATGCATAAATCTTTTTCTTTTTTTGTGGCTGAAAACTCCTTTCTTTTTCATGTTGAGTAATTCTACTGGACAGGCGCCACACAGATTATCACTGTGGAGAGCCTACTGAAGGACATCTACATGGTTTCTGTGAGTGAGCATGCGGAAGCCAGAGGAGGCTGTCAGGTGTCCTTCTCCATAGCTCCCATCTGTGTCTTTCTGTTTCCTGGCCACCATGAGGTGAGTAGCTCCCGCTCCACTCTCTCACCACTGGAGTGGTCTGCCTTGCCTTAGGCCCAAAGTAATAGAGCCTGCCAAGCAGAACCCACTCTGAAACCCAAGCAAAAGTAAATTTTCTTCTTTCTTTTCCTTTTAAGCTATTTTCTCTGAGTATTTATTGCAACAACTAATCCACAACTTGTAGCTAACTTGAAGCTCCCTACATCCTGGGGAAGCCAGGAAAAGCATTTTAAGCAACAAAGTAGCTGCTATGGCGCTTTGTAACGTGTGAGATGAAGAAGTTTGCATGTAAAGCTACATCACATACAGTATGTGTGTGTGTGTGTGTGTGTGTGTGTTAAGATTTTCTTTCACCTCCAGAGCTGGGTGTCACTGGCTGCAGATAGTCAATCAATTTGAGCGATCTTCTTTGGCATTTCAAAAGGAAATTTTCTAGTCCACAGGACATAAAGCCAGGCCGAGGCACACTTCTCAGTGCTCTAAGTAGTGGGTTCCAGGCTCAGTGCACAGAAGTCTTGCTTAGCACTTTTAAAAATCACCAATGCCTGGGCTTACCCTACACCAAATTGAATTGTAGTCTCCAGGCTGGGGCCCAAGGCATGCATCCCTCCCCAGGTGACTTGATCATATGATTTGGCCTTAGAACCACTTACTTGAGTGTCTGGTGCTCAGACTGTTCCCTTTTGAGGTGAACTAGAATTCGGTAATGTTATCTGAGCAAAGATCCTACACCCACTCCTATGGAGGAGGCAGCTGACAAACTCTTTCTTCTATGACATCACAAGTGGCTAATCCACAAGAAGAGATGTGGGTTTCCTTCTTAATAAAAAATGTACCTTCTTTCAAGAGAAGAGGAGGAGGCAGAATTGAAACCCACCAAGATAATTGAAGTAAATAACTCCAGTCTCGGATGACAAGAAGTTCTACATATGCATTAAACAAAGGCAAGCCTCACTTCTAGAAGAAACAATGTGTACTGAATCTTCCCCTCTTTGCCATCATCTAGAAATTTCCACACTAATTTGCAGTTGCTGACACATTTCTTGTTACTGAGAGAACAGTCTCCTTCCTCCGATAGTCTTCTCCTGTCTTTAAACAAGTTAGTAGAAGGGGTGTGAGGGGGGAGGAAAGAGACGTCTTGGTATGTTTAAATGGGGACATGAGAAATCTTATCAAACTAGGAATCAAAATACATATCCCGTCCCCGCCCCCCCCCCCCCGGTCCCGCTGCCAGTCTGGCTCATTCAGCAATTGCCTGAAAGAAATAATAGGGATGATTTTGTTCTGTTTTGGTTTTTTGAGACAGGGTCTCTCTATGGAACCCTGGATCTCCTGGAACTCACTATGGAGACTAGGCTGGCTTCAAAATTACAGAGATCCCCCTGGTTCTGCCTCCCTAATGCCCAGGTTAAAGGCTTGAGCCACCACACCAGCTCAAGGAGGAGTTTATGCCTAACAGATTGGCCACCATTCGGCAGATCTGTGATGAACCAAGCCCCTGGGAGAGGGTAATTTGGGGGAACAAATAGTCAGGAAACAACACCCTGTGTCTGAAATAAAACAAGAGGCCATAAATGAGGAGGCACACTGACCTGCTTCAGAAGGTAAGCTGCTTTTCTTCCAGGATGAGGGGGCACTCCACCCTTCTGGGCTTGGGGTTGCTGGCTCAGTGTGCTGATTCAGTGTACCTAAGTCCATAGGTGGTGGCCATAGAGTCCACGGTTCTTCAGCGAGGAGAAAGTGAAAAGGGCTAGTATCTGAAACCATGAGAAGAAATGGAGAGAGATGAGCAGATGCAGGGAGTGGGTACCCACACCAAGGTTCCTACTTCTCAGATCTGTTTGTAATTCTGTGTGCTACTAGTTTGTCTCCGAGTTAGGGGAAACTTCCGTGGACCACAGAAGTTGATTCTTGTGTTTAGAATAGACTAGTAGCCTGTCACCAACCACATGGTAATCATTAGTGAGTCCAGGGAAGAGATGGTCAGTAGAGTAACTGCTTTATCTGGCCTCACCATCATGGCAAAATGAGTCAAGATCTGTATTCTGTCAATGTCGTGATGGAAGGCAATGTCTTTGGACTTCATCATCACAGCTTCCGTTAGATTTGTATGCAGAGTGTCTGGGACATGCCAGGTCTGTTTAGTTAGAGTAGAATACATTGGACCTAGAGAGCCTAAGAGGGGACCCATAATGCATTTACACTGTCAGGAAGATAAAAGACAGAGGGACGGGAAGACCAGGAGTCGTGGTCCCTAACACGAGCTTTAGAGCGTGTCTTTTGCCTCTTGTCTCTGTGGTATTTTTCCAGAACTTGCCTTTAGGGTCAGACAATGCAACAATGAGAACAATATCCATCAGCATCTAGCCCATCCCAGACACCAAGCAGCATCACTGGTTAGTCCACTCAGGCTTCACACCTCTCTCCCCATCCTCGCCTTCCTCTCTGGCTTCCCTTTGGGCCGTGTCAAGGTTAGATGGTAGCAGTAAGAGAAAATACGGGTTTCTTACTCAGTTTTCTTTTGACCATAGCCCCTGGAACAACACCATTTTTCATGAACGTCCACGACACCTCACTAATTGTGGTGGTAGCCCTCAGAATATCGTCTCCCTCGATGGAACATACATAGAAAATAAGTTTGGTGAAGGTGAGCCTAGAGAAATTTTCCCTTGTCTCAAACCATTTCCACTTGTCTCAAAGTTAAAGATTTGGGTCAACAACCAAACCAGATCTGATTCTGAGACCCTTCTTGTATCTTCCAAAATGGCTCTGTCTCGTGATCCCCAAGTTGACCATATCCAATTTCATGGGAGGTATTCAACCATCACTGAGCCTCAGTAACTGGGAAAGGGCAGTTTAGCATGCTAGAAGGGGCCCCTTGCTGAGAGAGAGTAGTGAGACTTGAGGACTCTCTCTTTAAGAAGTCTTGGGTGTGTCGCTTCATTTCTGTTGGCCATAGTTACTTCACTGTTACGATTATCACTGAAGGAGAGAGCAAAAAGCCGCTGAGGATGGGACATCTCAATTTCCTTTCTCTGCAGCCATTAACCAGCAACCCCATGTGCTGACCGGAGCCTTGCTCTTTCCTTGTGGTGCCTATCCAGTCCTTTTCCCTGTACCAATGTCCATGTTTTCCATAGACCCAAACTTTATCAGTTTCCCTTAGTCTCTTGATCTCATTTCCGTCACCAATTGCTTTGGGCTTGGGAGTTCATGATGCAGTTCTGACTGACAAGACGTGGGGGGGGGGAGTTGAGGGAGATGCTCCCGAAAAGGGGTGTCTTGCTCCTAAGAGAGTACGCAGTTGAGGGCCTTTTGTTTTCCCTGTGTTGAGTATCATTGTCTGCATTGATGCCTAAAATGGCTTGAGGAAAGCCATTCTCAGTGAACATCACCGGAAGGCTGGGAAGCCATAGAGGGAGAACCTGGGAGCTGTTCTCAGCGTCGGTCCCCAGTACAGATACCCCTGCCTGCCCATCTCGTTTTGTAAGACAAGTATACTTGTAATTTCTGGTAACATATTCGGATGGCTCTAACTTCTCTCTGCTGTGTCTTTAATGGCTTGCAAGCACAGGAGACATTGATCGCCCTGTGTTCGTTTCAGTTTTAACAACTAATGACGTTGACCAAAGAGAACAATTCTGTTCTGATCGTTCTGCATTCTCCGATTCTGTTGGCTGTTGACCAGAACTGCTATGAGGTTCCTTTAAAGGGTCACCCAGCCACAGCTACGTAAATAAAAAAGAGCTCCAGACTTTACAGAGTCACTGCGTTGAGTCTGGAGTCTTGACCTCCAACGTCTACTCCTAATTTTCAACTAAATTCTCCATTTATTTCCTCAGGATTGATTACGAGTACTCTCCACAGCCATGGCAACGCCATCACCTTTCGACCCACTACACCAGGGAAACGTCATGACTGAGGGAAGCCGCTCACTTCACAGCAGTAAGGACAAGGGAAAAGGAGGAGGAGGAGAAAAAGATGGGCAGGTACCTTCCCCAAAGGCATGTCTTCCTTTCCTGCCATCTACTTCTTCCACCTAGATCCCAGTTCTCAAAGTTTCCAACACCTCCCAGAATAGCGACACCAGCCGGGGACCAAGATTTCAACAGGAGCCCATGGGGAACATTTGGCATTGGAGCAACGCCTTCCCCCCTTCCGGTTTTGTAGCTCGGGATTATCTCCACTACTCAAACTTGGGTCATCTCAGGATCTTTGTTCTCATGTTTTTGTTTGAGTTTCTCTCTGGGGCTCCACTGCCAGCAAGCCTGTCTACCCAGTCCTGAGGGTTTTGGCCATTTACTGATACTTTATTCCTCTGTTTACAGTGTCTCAAAGTTCCGTTCCTTTGGGTCCCGCTCTGTCTCCCATTCGGGCCCCCGAGGCGGACTGCTTTCCCGCGGTGTAGGTTTGATGGAAAAAGCCAGCTGCAGCTGTTACCTGGGACTGCTCCCCTTCTGCCTCTCAGCCACACAGTTCTCTGCCCCTTCTCTGACATGAAGGAATTTTCGCTGCCGCTCTGGAAGCTTTCAGTGGAGGGAGGAGCAGACTGAATCCCATTCTGTCTTATGTCGCTGCTGACTACCAGGCTTAAGAGATGGCTTTTCTTTTTTTCCTGCTTGATTTTCAGTCCCACACCGTGAAGACGACGTTAGGAGCAGCTGAGCACGAGCGAACCCCAAAGTTCTCTTGCTCTTGTTTTACAACTCACGCCTGCCTACCTCCCGGGCTTCTGCCAGCTTCTAAATTCCATGCTTCCAAATAAGACAGTAACATATTCGACTCTGTGGATTGTTAACAGATTCTTGGACCAGCGCACACGTCACCCCCAATGTGCCTGACTGGATAACAATGTAAAGTACAATGGGGTAACATATGCAATGCATTGTCTTTCTTTTTCAAAAACTCATTTTATAAAACTCCTTAATTGAATCAGGCTTGAACTTCCTGTGGCATGAGACCAAATAGAATTACATTGATGCTAAAAATGTAAATGCATCCCAGATACCACGGTTGATGTATAGTTGGGGATACTGAAGCCTGAAGGCTTGTGTGAGCACTAAGATGAGAAGGGAGAATCTTAGGATTCAGGTACCTGACATATAAACATTTATGGAATGTCTCAAACATTTTGCTTTCTTAGGACAGTAATACTATCTTTGACTTTGGAATCCCAGGAAGACTTCTGTGGGAGCACTGGCTCATTCTCCAGATGATAGGAAGGATGCCCAGGAGGGGAAAGAAGACAAAATTTTAGGGTACGTCCTGTATCCCCAGAACTAGGGCCAGATCCTATCCAGCACACCCTGGTTCAGCTTTGACGGTGTCAATCACTGCCCTCCACACTGAGATTGTCTGGAAGTCACCTCAAGGGTTGGGAAGTCCCCTCCAGCCCTTTATCGGCTCTGCCCCTCCTTCTATGGAGGATCATTTCACCAGTGTCTGCTCAGGAGACTGGGAACGGAAAGGAATGCTGGCCTCCCTCCATCTCCAGCCCCATTCTGCAAACAAGATGCCCACAGTCGCAGAGGTCTGTTAGTGCTGCCCTGTGCTGATTCTTTTCCAGCCACTTGTCTTAGTGCAGAGATTTACTTCTTATGATTCATTCACGACTGGTCGAGGGACGGCCACAGCCCGGTGACACCACTGCTCATCACGTCTCCCTGTCTCATGACATGTCAGGGGACATCCCTTGGAGCATGCATCGATGAAATTTATCTCCCTTTTAAAAGTGTAGACAACCCCCAATGGTGGAAAACTATGCAGGAGAGGCTGATCTGGAGGCCGGGGTGCAGGCTTTGACTTTTCTTTCTTCCCCGGTGCTGTTGCCAGGCAGACTAGTTACTGACACAAAACTCCTCCTTGATAAGCTGAACTGTTCCCCCTCCCAACTTCATTATGCCTGCAGCCGGAGCTCTGCTGTAGAGGAAGCCATGCCAGACACCCTGATTCATGCACTTAAAATATCTGCCGGCCTGGGTATGCGGGTGAGGCGACAAATCTGGGAAACATACATCAGATCAGCAGATGCTCTGAGCATGCGCAGGAACGGCCGCAGGATGGAGACGTGCCCTCCAACCTGGGGCTACGACCCGACCTGGAGGAGGTGACCGGATACAGCTTCTAGACTGTAGGGGATTGGTGGGTGAGGAGGGCGGGAGCTGATATGCAGAAGAGGTCTTAAAACCATCACCAAACATCCGGGGCACCAGGTGAAGGACTAGAATGAGGTTCGACCTGAGCCCGTGGGGCTGGGCTGGAAAAGGAAACTTCTTTTTGTGTATGCATTCTACTATGTACTGATCCAGAGCATTCTGGAAAAGTACTGTATCACTGAGTTATGTCTGACCCTTGAGCAAATTTGTTTTAAGGTTGGTAAGATGGTTCAATGGGTAAAAGCACCAGTCATTTAAGCCTGGCAACCTGAGTTCCATTCCCAGATCCTAAATGGAGGGAGAGACCCAGCTTGGAACACCACAGGCACACGGTAGCATGCACATACTAATGTATGCATGTGCACATGCCCTCTCCATATAATAATAGCAATAATAAATAACATTTTTGAATCAATTATAATTTTTTATTTTAAAACAGGGGTCTTGCTAAGTCACCCAGGCTGTCTTCAGACTTGCTGTGTAACACAGGTCAGCCTTGGATTTGCTGCCCTGCTGCCTCTGCCTCCTGAGTAGCTAAGATTATGAATACATTCCACCAAGCCTGGCTGAGAATGTTCTGTGAAGAACTTGGACCAAGTACGGGCTTGAGAGAGAATTTGGCTTTGCCTTCACCAGGTGCCACATCAGAATAGAAAATTACAATATAGAGAATCCGAGGCTGGGAAACTCCTTAAATAACTGTATATACTTGTAAGGAAATGAAGTAGGTATGTTCCAGAGTTATGAATCAGGGGGAGCCAAGAAAGACACATGAGTGGAACTGGAGGAGGTAGGCCCAATGACTCCAGAGAAAATGCCTGAGAAAATGCCAGCTATGGGCTCTTCCTTTATGAACAGCAACAGAGCCACCCAGCCATTTCCGAAGCACAGAAGTTAAATACCTTGGTCCCATAGCTGATTGCAGGCCATCAGATCCTAGAATTTCTTGGTCTAGGTCTGGAGACAGCTGATTTCCTCACATGCCTGGACCCTAATTCCAAAGTAGTTTCAGAAACATGAGAGGAAGGAGGGTTCAGACATGAAGCTCAGATTCCTAGCCTTCAGCCATGTGCGGGCCTTACAATCAGATCAGACACTGGGGAGCTGGGAGAACACCAGGAGTAGAGGTGGGAAAGAGCGGGAGGTGCCATCCAGCAACAGCGCCAGTTTCTCGGGCAGAGGCCCACGAAAGAGCTCTGAGTAAATTAATAGGTGCCCGGAGCCGTGGCTCCAGCAGGCTGGATGGTGCCAGGCTGGGGGTGCCAGCTGATCTCTCTGCAGACAACAGAAAGTGAGATTCTCTGTGGGCAGGGAGGTGAGACACTGAGAAACGGCTGGACCTTCTGTTTTTCTACGCAGAGGGAGGAGCAGAAACGAAGGACAGGTAATTCTCTCCCTTTCTTTCCAGGAAAGCAACCAGGGCTTTGTAATTTCAAGACCTGGGTGCCCTGACCTTAGGCAGGGGATTCCCACCTGCGGGAAATGAAGAGCTTACTAAAGAGGGGGTAGAAGATTCTGCTTTGTGAGTAAGATCATGTCAGGGCCTGACTCACTAAAGGTGGCTGGATCCTGGGAACTGGGAACACAAGAGGGGTTGCGTTGTGGGGTTTTCCCCGAGAGCACAGGGATGTTCACAGCTTTCTGTCCCAGCTGTGGACAGATGAGGGACCGCTGGGGAAGCATGTGGATCTTAGCTACTGTGTGGTTTTCAGAGTTGGGATATAGGTTCTTTAAAGGATGCAGCAGGTGTGGGGAGGAATCTCAAGAACCTAGGGCAGAAGTACTCAAGAGAAAGCAGGAAGCAGGATGCGGTGGGGACTTCAAAAAACAGAGACACCGGAAGGACAAGGGTGTCTCACACGGATGGACAACACGATGGATGATGAGCTGTCCTTGAGCTTGCCCAGGGTCAAGACGTAAGCATCTACAACCTTTGACTTCTTTTCATGGTCTCCCTGTTCCTACGCCGTGGAATGACTGACAGCATCCCAGCACATTCTATTCTGCTCACGACACAGCTGCTGGGCCACAGCGATAGCTACTCGGCTGTGTACTAGTCTCACGGCAGCCTCTAGAAATAAATCTGTGTGTGCCTTGGGGTAAGAAATGAATGTACTGCAGATTGGCTGAGCTCAAGGTGCGGACGAGTAACATTGCCTAGGTGTTCGCATTTAATGAGAATGGCTTCTACTCTTTTCCTTGTCGGACCACAAGCCTCACAGCTGCACACAATCCGGCACTGACCGGCACAGGTCCGCGCCCAGCTTGCACAGAAAGCTCTGGTGTGCTCCGCCTTCACCTAGAATCACACCACAGAGCCAGTCAACGTCTCTGATGCACCGTTGACTTTGGCAAGGCTTTCTGAGCTCAGTCCCATCTCTGTGTCCTCCTCCCTGTAAAAACAAGGCCATCGTATCATGGCCTGACACTGTTTTCCTGTCTTCATTCAACCAGCGTGATCGACGTCCCGCGATGTCCTGCGAACAGTTGGGGGCCCATGAGGCGGGACTAGTGGCTTCTTTGGCTTGCTCCTATCCCAGCACCCTCCTCTCTCTCTCTTCACCCCCGCTTTCTAAGGCAGCTCTGTGTTCACCCTCATTTCTCCAGGGTTTAGCTTAACTGCATGATCAAGGAACTCTCTTCAAAACCCAGGCGGCAGACCCTGCTTGTTCCTCTGTACTCGGCCCATTGTCTCCTCTCACTCCACACTGTAATTAGTTCCTTTTTACTTACTGGATAGGAAATCCCCAAGGAAAACGAGCCATATCTATTAACTCCCTAAGCCTTGTATAAATACAGGTGGAGTGTTCTTAATGCCATTTACAAATCCAGTTTAAAAATGAATAATGAGCAGATGGAAGGACTAAATTATATCTGCTTTTTAAAAACTTGTCTTTAATTTTAATTTTGCTTTTTAATGTAAAATTATGTGTCTGGCTGTTTTGACTCTTGTACCACTTGTGTGCCCAGTTCCCTGAGGACCCAGAAGAGGGCAATGGATCCCCTGAAACTGTTGTGAGCCTCTGTGTAGGTGGTAAAAATTCACACAGGTACTTTGGAGGACCAGACAGTTCTCATAGCTGCAGAGCCATCTCTCCAGCCTTACTACTACCACCATTATTATTTTTTGACTTATATTCATTGAACATAGTACTGAGTTTCATAAGAACATTTTCATGCAAGTTGATAGCATCCTTTGACCGTGTCCCCCAATTATATGGTTTCTAGATGTCATGAGCTACCAAGTCAAAAAACTGAGGTAAAGCTGTCTATGGGAAGATACATTTTTTAAAAATATTTATTTATTTATATTTTACACTCATTGGTGTTTTTGCCGTGAGTGTTGGGTCTCCTGAAACTAGAATTACAGACAGTTGTGAGCTGCCATGTGGTTGCTGAGAACTGAACCCGGGTCCTCTGGAAGAGGAGTCAGTGCTCTTAACCACAGAGCCATCTCCCCAGCCCCCGGGAAGATACACTTTTAAAATTAAAAAAAAACAAAACAGAACAAAAAAAACAAAACAAAACAAGAACAAAAACCCCACCAGGCATTGGATCCTTTAATCCCAGCACTCAGGAGGCAGAGGCAGGTGGATCTCTGAGTTTGATGCCAGCTTGGTCTCTAGAGCAAGTTTTAGGACAGCCAGGGCTACACAAAGAAACCTTGTCTCAAAAAAACCTAAAAGTTAAATATATAATATAATATAATATAATACAGTACAATACAATACAATATAATATAATATAATATACATAGCATACAATTATCCATTTTTAAGTGCACAGCTCATGGCATGACACCTTCGCCTGGCTGTGTAGCTGCAGCCTTCACCTGTTCCCAGAACCTTTTCATCACCCGAAACTCTATGCTCATTAAACAATAACTCCCATCGTTATCATGCCCCAGCCCGTGGTAACTGCTGTACTGTTAATTATGTCTTTGTGAATGCCAGTTCTCCAGGAA